AATATTCGTTCACGTATTTTCGGCCATTGGGAAAAACATAGTTCTGGACGATCATAATAAAGTGAGAAATAATATGGCGTTGGTGATGCAGGTGAAGCGTAGTATGACCAATCGTTATTTATCGATGAGAGAAGAGCCGATTTATTAATTGATGGAACAGAGAGAATTTCTTGTTGACCTTCAGGTGGATAATATTGGACTGTTTGCGGTGGCGCATAAGGACGTTGAAAAACTGAATCTTGTGGAAAGAAATCCGTGCGGAGATCGTAGGGTTCCGTTAGATAAGTGTAACTTATTTGAGGAACCGGCTGAACTTCCATCTGCTGTTGACGACGTGTTCGATTATGAAGGATACGATGAATCGGTGACATATGTCGTAGAGGAATTTCTTGCCGCTGATAAAGACGATAATTATGCACAGCATTTTGCATATGCTGGTTTCTTTCGTATGGACTAAGTGGTATTCGTGTTAAGGTGCTTGGTGGAGGGTAGATTGAAGTAAAAAAGTTCATATCGGCTTTGATCGTTGCACTTGAATTAGTCAGTTGACTGACAATTTCATACTGACTTTGATTGTTTCCAAAGACATTTCTGGTTATTCGAATATGACTCGAACCGATCGTTAAAACGCCAGGCATTCGTGAACGTCCATTTAAGAACTGACTAATCTTTGATGTTACATTGTTATTAATCAAGCGATTGTACATAAATAAGATTGTTTGATAAGGTGAAAGTTCATTCAAATCAAGTGAAACAATGAAATTCTTGCCGAAATTATTTGTGAAATTATTGAACAATATTCTCAATGTAACATTTCGTAAATAAACGTCTTCAATCCAATTGGATTGATTTCCTACAATTAAGAGAGCACCATTTTCATGTCCAATGAACGAATTGTTAGCTATATCGCCCAGAACATTTTGTATCGGATTAAAACGTAAACCGACGCGTTTGTTATTTAAAAACCGATTCCATGTTATATTCATCACTGTATTGCCGGTCTCATTTGCGTATAACAATGCCACTGGTATCCATGGTGGATAATCTGGATAGATATTAAGTGGAGCTTGATAAATAATGCTGGGTGGAGGTGGAGGTGGTAATAGACTATTCAGGGGAACTAATGGACTACGAAATTGATAGTCAATCACTTTTTGAGGACGCCATTCATGTTGACAAGAATCGAATCGGATGGCATCGTACACTGATCGTTCGAATAGTGAACCATTGATGTAGAATAATGAAGGATGACATGTTGCGCGGTGCCACAGACCATAGAAACCGTTTGAACGTATCGATGAACCATTGACAAACGTCAGTTGACGACAAGCAAATGTTGGGAAAGTAAGTGATGATAATAAAAAGCCAGTCGGTGCAGAATCCGGACGAACAGATAAACCATGTTGATGATTGAACGAGATGTCCGAATAAAAGATTCGACGTTCTCCTCCATCGTAAATCATATGAATACCGTCCTCACCATTGGAATTGAATTTCGAATGGTAAGTCCATAGAGCACCAGCTCCTGAGTCAATATCCAGGCCGTGACGTTGATTATGATTGATTATTGTTTGATTAATTTCAATGAGACTCCGCAAATTCACCACTCGAACACCATTAAGTGAGTTGTTAACGATACGACTATTCCAGATGTGCATGTCAGCATCACGACCTGAAAAAGAAACGAAGTCAAATAGAATGATATCTACATATTTTCCCAACAAATACTAACCATCATCATTGACCACATACAATTGTATTCGATCAGATTGATTCCAGCATGACAAACTTCGTACGTCATCACAGGAATGACATAAACGTACAAGTAATTCATTTGATGACGATGATAAACTTTCTATTGTTCGATTGAATGTGACATTGGCTAACAAAGGCATCATGTCAAAGAGACCATTGTATAATTCGATTCGATATCGTGTACGATAGTCACCAAGAAACACGGATTGAAAATGAACAGTTAAACGCGTGTTATACATCGACGAAAAAGCCTGAATACAACAACAACAACAATCGATTACAATAAAATCAAACTAGCACTCATTACCTGTGTACAACATGTTCCAGCTGCCGGAGGTCGGTACGTGAAATAACTTGGAAATTCGACTGTATTCGCTGTTTCACAAAATGACTTGTACAAACGCTTTGGACTCTCTTCTTGTTCTCTTTCTGACCATTCTGTATTATTCATTGCATAGTAGACACCATCACCACCATTGTCATAGACATGAACATTATCCAAAGTTACATTACCATATCGACTCGTCACAGCAATACCATGTCCTGAAAAGTTCGACAGAGTGTACATACAAAACAGATTGAACTTTTTTCATACCTCGATTATAGGCAGACACCGAGTTTTTTAGTTTGACCGAACTACCAACATTAGAAAAATTCATTCCATCTGATGCAGAGTAAAGTACTGTAATATTGTCAAACAATGGATTGACTAAATTATCGAATACTGTCAGTGCGGCAAAGCGTTCGGCGTACGATCGAATGGTTAGTTCTGGTCTTAAACCAGCATGGAGAATATCAACATAATTCAATATTGATGGTCGTTGATTGAGATCGTTGTACAGCGGTGAAGCTGCATCTGATATTTCTGGAATATCAGTTAATTTAATCGTTGAGAATTTTCGTTCGAATACAATGCCGCCCCAATTGAGAACAGTCAATGGGTCAAAAAAGCCATCACATTGCAAACGAACATACTGTTTGTCGTCTAAACGGATGAGTTCATGTTAGAGAAGACGAAAATTCGAAGGAATCTTATCAAAATAAGCCGTGCAACAATAAAAGCAAGCAGAAGTAGAAAAGGCAAAGCAGTGTGCAAGCAACAAACATAGCAGAAATTAGAAAGTGCACGATGAATATATTCTTACTGAGTTAATTGATCTAAATTAATTAGATAAAAAGAAGAAGAAGATATTAAAAGCTAGAAGAGATTTTGTCACAAAACTTTTTTTAAAAATTCATCATCATAGTTGGAAATATGTTGATTGATTCCTAACCTTGGATTGACCTTGAACTCAAAAGCTATTTGACATGTCAAAGAAGATCTCAAAGTATTATTGAAATCTAGTCAAGAACTTCCAATCGAACAAAACATTTGATATTATGTCAGATCTAATATATTTCGCTTTGATGATGCATGACAAAGAAAAATTACATCATCGAGTCCTTCTGAAAAAAAATCAATCAGACGCCCTAGAATTCTCATGCATATCTTCACCATCACTGATTTCATTTCAAAATAAACACACTTATCAAGTCTATCAACAAATGAATGTATGTGACAATCTCTGATGCGTTCTTAAGGTTAATCGTGATTGTATACATATATATATAGTTTAAGTTAGTAGCTAAAGAGGAGAATCGCCCTTGTAAAATCTAAAAGAAATATTTACCACAAATATGAAGGCCTAGGCGCGGCGGTACACTGATTCCAGGACAGTCAAGTACATGTTCATCAACAAAGGGTCGACATGCAGGATGATCGATTTGTAAACCGTACCAAGGCGGTTCGCTGCCATTAATGCGATATGGTATAACACTTCCATTTCGAAAACCCATCATTCGACAGGTCAATGTCGCATCGTAATCGAACCATCTTTGTGGAAAAGAAATCATGATCGGAAAAGAGAGTTCTTTGAAAAAGTGTCTTACCGATAAAATTCTGTGCACACGTAACGCCAACGATTTTTGAAGTACATTTGTAGAAGACCATTCTGCACACTTGACCCATCAACAAGACGAAATCGTATATTAGCACCCGATGTTCGATGAATCTGTTGTTGATCCTGATAGAGTGCACTTGTTGAGCTAGTAAATATAATTCGTCGATCAGGTGTACCCTAATCAACAATTACATTAAGAGATCATATGCTATCAGTGAAATTTTACCTTGGCTAGAAGTGTTCCACGAACAATAAGCTGTGAACCGCGTGGGAATCGCACAGTCGTTCCACTTTCGACCGTAACGGTGGAGCCAAATGGAATAACTGCATCTCCAGGTGCATCATAGGGACTCTCGAGACGTGTTAAAAGAACGTCACCAACAAGATTTGGTAAGATACTCGTTTGAAACAGAGCAAATGAACAGAAAATGATAACGAGATGCAACGACGCCATGCATTACCGTTGAATGGCCTCGAGCACACTCGCGATAAAGAGAGAACGCGTACGGTTTTTCTTCTCACAGAAAAATATTCAATCAAACGATCTTTTGACCGTTAAAATATATTGAAAAAGAAACGGTTTGTCTGCGGTGAATGACTCACTCCAGGTAAAATTACTATCGGTCAACTTTCATTGATGAATGACATTTACCTTTATTCATTCAGGTAAACATTTGACACATCGATAGGGTGCGCTAATGTGTGTCACAATGAACGAGCAACAGGTGTGCGTTTACTAGGTCAACTGAGAGCGAGTAAAGAATGAATGAAAAGAATATGAAAAAAAGAGAACAGATTATGATCAATTGCTGCAATGAATGTCTTTTCTTTCCCTTTCTTTTTTTGTTGTTGTTCATTGTCGATGACTAGAACGAGCATCCGTCATGATTAATTGAACTTTCTCGCAGGAGAAGAAGAACGCAAGAGAAGTAATTTGAATTCACCTTGAACTATTGAAAAAAAAACTTTTATTGCTAAGAATGAACGTTAATGGAACGAGTACAATGTCGGTGAAAAGAATGAAAAACGCAGCAATTGTTTGCACTTGAATTGCCGTTAGTAGCGAGGTTAATTATTGGTTTATAATTATTTTTCAAGTGGATAGTGAAGTATAGCATAGTTCATTATTAATGAAATGATTGTGATTTCATTTGTTGCCAAGAGTATAGATTACACTGACCTTTACGTGACACTAAGATGAAAAGTGTCATGACAAATCGAATCGCTATCGAGTCATATCGTTAACCGAATCATTCATCGACATTTTATTACAAAAATAAAGCTCAGCAAGCTATATCACAATATTTATATACTAATAAATTCCATGTTAGCTGGTGGCACGTTTTCTTGTTGGGCATTAGCCGCTACTTCCGCTTTCTTTTCCATTGGTTTGGATTCGGCTTTGGCTGTTGTGGCGATGATTTGTGCACGATGCTTTTCAATTGCTCGTTGTTTCTTCGCTTTTTTCTTGTCGGCCTTCACCTGACGGCCAGATGCCGGTCGAGATTTTGGTTTTGATGTAGTTTTAGATTTAACATCTTCTTCCTTTTCCGACACATATTCTTCTTTTTCCAACACATCTTCTTCGGAAATGGTTTCGGTAACTTTGTCATCTGTTGTTAACTTCAATAATGCTTCAACAGTCGATTCTACATCAAGATTATGATGTTTGTAGGACTGTTCGATCAGTTCGACATCGTTAATTCCTGTTATCGTCATGATTCTTTCAATTGATTCTTGAGAAATAATTGGCAGAGATACTGGCGATGCGTCCAATGCCATAAAATGAGCGATTGTTCCATCAATATCTCCGCGACTATCGGTTAATATATCGCGAATTAACTGGCGATCAACGGGATTTTCTAATTGTGCACAAATATATTCGACGTCGTGTTCACTAAACAATTCTGGAGGATCGAATGCACACGCACCATGACCGTTCTCATTTGTAGTTGTTTTCTTCTTATCATTCAAAACTGTCGGATTGCACGTCGTCATTGCTTGACGAACGTTTGCGGATGTCAATGTGAGATCACCTAGTTTCCTTACTGAAGAATAATGTTCATAATTATGATAGGAAATATGAATTTCATGTTTAGGAGGTTCGGAGAAACATACAATCCAAACAGGTTGATTCAACTAAATCAGTGATAAAAGTTATCTTTCATCGGTACGTCAAATTCTTGTCAAGCATTACTTGATGTATACAGATTTTGGCATCGAAAAGACGAGAAAACGCGACAAGACATTCGTTTCCTCCGAATGTTCCATCTTTCGAAAGTGAATGAACGAATGCATCAAACGGTTGATCGACAATGAATGGTTCGAAATCTTCTCGATTCGCACGCATATACTCGCAAATTTGCTGTCGATAACGAGCATGTCGATGTTGATCACCATCCATTTGATCAGCAACTATGCACAGATGAGATTTCTTTCTTGTGCAAAAGTCAGATATTGGAAATAGTGACTTACAACTTCGAAATAAGCAATTTCCGTCGCCAACAATATTTCTCAATTGTAGATTGAATGCTCGTAGTTGTGTATTGAATGCCCCAGCGTTTTCATCTTTTCTCAAGTATGTTTTCTTCTCGCGAATTTGCTTCTCCTGCTGACGAGTTTCACGTTCTTCACGTTTCGATGAATTCGGCCGAGTATTCGCATTGGCTTTATCACGTCGAGGACACATGGAAGAAATAAATTAAGTACTAAAAATGAATCGGACAAATATGAACTAATCTAGACGAGACCAATGATTATATATTGAGAGGAAATTATGTCATATCAGTCATTGAAAAATTATTGCGAAACAATTAATTGATTAGTACTTGGATATTTGCTTGCTGAAGAGAAATCGAAAGATTGGTGAAAGAAAATATGAGTCAAGTGCAGCGTCGAAGGATGTCGCTGTTCTATGAGAAAATATTTATTCATGTCAATCTTCAGAAACATAACAAGACAACACTATCGATCTATGCGTTCTAAATCACTATCCAATGTTGCTTGATATATATTTAGTTCATCTGATAAACGTGAGTAAAGCACCGATTCATTATCACTAAATATTTGAGTTGGTGTTAACGATTGACTGGTATTAGTTTCATCATCGGTTGTTGCATATTGCTGATTGTCTAAAGCACTTAACAGTAATGAGCTTGTCTCATCTATGGTCTGCGTTATGAATGAAAGGTTCAGTTCAGATGCTGACGAAGGTGAGGATGCTAAGAGTTGATTGCAATTGAACACATCAGCATTGGATTCGAAAGAATCATTTGGAAGTAAAGCCTCGTGCTCCGGTGAAGATACGACTGGATTGATGTTTATCTCATGTTCGGTTGAACGGGGCGATGATCTAGAGTGGAAAATCACATTAAAGATTGAAGTTAACTTAAAAGATTGGCATACGGCATCTTTGGTTTACATGAGAATGTTGCTGCTAAACGTACGGCCAGTGGGAAAAGCGCCAGAGCTACAGTAGATGCCAATGGTTCCAACTTTTGTTCTAGTGCATGCAGAATATTGTTCAACTATATTTCGGGAGAAGAAACAATACTGTGAGCTCAATACGAATAGAACTTACCCGAACCAATTCTGCTTTCAATTCTCGATTCTGCAATTGTGCATATCGATAACTTTCGAAATAACTTGTTTTCACGATCAGCCGTCTTGTTCGAGATACATCGACTACTAAATCTTTCGAAACGATATCATGTGATCCTCGACCTGGATTTTTCAATTTAATAATCTAAATCAAACTAAATTTACCAACGATAAACCATCTTGCTTCGATTTACTTTAGGTAAAAAAATCAAACACAAGATTGAACTTGTCATCAACACCACCACTAAACATATGACCACATATGTTCGTAAAGTCTTCATCGAAATCATCACAATAACGGAAAATAAACTCGTGAGGACAACAATATAAATACTCCACACGATATATTTCGAATCATTCAAAGCAGCTATATGCACATGCCGTGTCTTAGCAGCTAAATAACCACCCAGAACGAGAAATAGCGACTTATATAAATAAATAACTGAAATGATTTTATGTCGATAGCGCGAATCACAATAGTAGATTTCATTTAAGACGATTATATCCATATTGACTCCTTTCGCCTAAATAAACAGAGAAAAAACAATAAAAATCAATTGTTCCAAGAATTTGTTTTTCTACGCACCGTTTTGTATGTGAATTGGGCGGAATTTGGATCAAATGTTTGCCAAAATACAGCAAATATTAGATCAACAATGTACAGATATAGACACACCAAAAGGAGATGATGATCTCGCAACAACTAGAGAAAGCATATTTGCTTGTCAGCATATTTTTAGCTGCAAGAGAATTTTTCACTTTAGATTGAAGTATGGGTCGATCACGTGACGTGAATATCCGATGAACACGTAGGGTTTTCAGAAACATTGAGCCGAACAGTAATGAGAATCCGCCAGAAAATAGAAAAACGCGTAACTAAAAATAGAAGTAGTGTAATCGCAGAAAAGCAAATCAATCGAATGCTTACTATGCATGCATGTCCTAACAAATGACGAGCAAGAAACCATTCATCCAGAGCGTAGAGAAGAATGGATATATGGATATGCATGGCACCCAAAATCATCATGTTATTTAATTTTGGACTGGATAATTTGATATAACTTAAGCAAACAAATGAATTTCAATTTTGCAGCAAATTTTCGATGATCACATTCGATTCGCTGACATGAAAATGCCAAGTTCAATAATTGGAAATACTAATCTCATTCTAATAGATACTCAATAGATGCGAAGAGTATCGTTCTTCTTTCTCTTCGTTGAGAAGAAAACGCGAAATTTTATCTAGTCTAATCTTTAGAGCTGGTGCATTCAAAACAATCGGGTCAAACTGTACTCGAAGCACTAATCTCCGTTTCCTTTTTATTTCATTACCGTTGATGACGCTTGATGATATTGAATGTCAAGAAGAAGATTGCCAATGCAAGGCCTAGTATACAGCTAGTTGTTATTAGCGCAATTTCGACTCCGCTCATGATAAGTCGATGGATCTCAGTGCGTTGACGATCAACCGGAGTCGAGCCTAAACGAATTGTTTGAGTTTTAGCAGTTTGGTATCATTTCTTTAGATTCTACCTGGCCAAATTAATGGTCGACACATCGAGCAATTGGTATTTAAACCTGTCGCCAGAGAATATTCAGCAATTTTTTCAATGTATTGCCCTATGGAATCAGTTTGGAATTGACTAATGAGTGTTTCAGCACGTCGGCGGCGATTTCGAAATGATACCGGACCCTAGAAACAATCTCGTCGCTTTCATTCATCCTACTTATCATCAACTTACAGAAACTCCTATGAAATAGATTTCTTCTAATAATCCCAACCATTGATCTCTCATATCCGTTCGTTCATATGTAAAACTTTCAATTGAGATGCTAAAATGAATTGAAGAACTAAATTGAAACTCGTTGAATCTTGCTCTTTACTTTCGTCCAATTGACATTCGGATCAACAGTGCAATCACCCAAACCGCATCATACGCATGTAGAGTTTGTCGATCCAGATGTGTATTCAATTGCACATGTTCTGCTAATTGTTCTGGTGTCTAAACAGTCAAACTGGATTCGTTTTCCATGTTTTTCTCTGGCGATAATTAACTAACCATCTTTGGATTAATAGAACTCGGTTTTGCTTCATATGAACTATCGACAATGATGTGGCTACGAGCTGCATCGATGATTTCCTTCTGTGAACAACCATTAATCGAAAAATTCCATAAATGATAATCATTGCCAGTTAAGATCCACACATAACGTTCGCGTAATTGTTTCGTAAATGATCGGTAGACTTCACAGAAGAAAATCGTTCTTGCCGAAACGTCGAAGTTGACGAAAACAATTCGAGCTTTCTTTTCCTAGGAATGAAACAAACCAAACCTAGACAAGCCTCGATTGTCAACGATCTGTTTACTTGAAGAGTTACAAGTGCTGACGTGAGATTAGCTGTTGAAGCACTTTGTGTTAGAATGACTTCGATATTCGATTCGTTCAAACGTTTAGCTAATTTGGCCATCATCTTCGAATGAACAAAGCAAATTCAATAAAGATCCAGTGTAGAAACGCACGATTTATTACAAGAGAATGTTCGATTGAATCTTGATGGATAATCGCTACTCGAGACCAATTATTAGCTTGAATGAATGCAACACGTGCGTCATTATAATTTTCATCCCAAACAGAAAGACGTACAAGTGTGGAATATGTTTGATTTGCTTGAGAAATAAATGAAGTCGAATGGGAAAACTAGATTAGATAAATGAATTCATTTCCGTTCTTGAATCCATCGGATGTTTGTCCATCAATTTCAAAGATACTACTCACAAGAATAAGATTGTAATAATCGGCAACTTGAACGACAGCTTTTGTTTCAGACGAACACGATGTTCCGATGAGAAATAACAACTGACGGCCACGAAAGATCGCATGAAAGAAGGCATCAACAGCATAGACTGGATCACACTAAAACAAAAACACGACACTCATTTTCTCTCATCTCAATCAGTCTTCTTTTTCAAGAGACTTTCGAATTGTTTGATGCTAATTCAAAGACATAACGATTATTGAACAATTCATCGGAACGCGAATTAATTTCTTTAATAGCCATCTGAGCAGCATAGAGATCCTTTTGACCATGATTCATCAACGGATTTTCATGATCGAACAAACCGCCAATGTGTAACGTAATTGGTTTGTTGTCTTCATTAGCATTGAGAAAAACAATCATAATAGAAAATATCCAATACTGCGAATGCATGCGAACACATTATGAAATAAACACGAAAGCGAAAAACATCTAGAAGAAGAGTTTTCGAGATTCATGTATACATACGTACATATATATATATATATGCTCTTATTAAATCAATCAATAGAGAAGAGGAAAAGTTGTTAGGAAATCGTGCGAACACATACATTCTCATTACTGGAAGCAACTCAATTTTATTCGACACTCAGTCTCGTTCGCCTTTATTGAGCATTCCGATCAAGCAACGCCAAGAAATAACATGCAAAGAAAATAAATGTTCAGACGCTTGCATTTGTGTACTCGCGTCGCTTAAACGACAGTTTTCCTCTTCACTAAAGTTCCTTTTCATTGAAGAAAATGATAAGAGATCGCGATCTCATATATCCCTCTGACAATGAAAAAGAAATTGATAGAAAAGCAGACAAAAAAAAAACGAAATAGAACGTACCATGGACATTAAGGAAAAACTCCATGGCACATATTGATTTTTTTCTTTAATAGAACAAAGTGCTCTATTAATTATTCTTCATCCCTATTAGATTAGGATTTTGTCACGCAGGATTATATATATATATGCAAACAAAAAGCTGATATAAATACTAGAAAATAACCAATCTGTCGCTTTATGTTTGTTCTATGCGCCAGTTTATCTCATGATGGACAAGAACATGATCATAATTTCGAGTAAATCTTTCAATAAATTAGTAATAAATCTTTATTTGGTTATCATAATAGAATTGTAAAGAGAGAGAAAAAAAATCGAAAACACCATGCTCAAATTGATTTGAATTTAAATAAAACTGTCTACAATATTGTCGTGCTCGTATTGACTGGTGACGATCGTCGAATAGCCCAATATTGAGGCTGTCGATAAGCAGTTCCATTGA